GAGCCGGTCGCCCCCAAACCCAGACCCCCTCGAGTAATGAAAAAATCATGGCGGGAGGTTTTTCGCTATGTTCGGCCTCTGGGGGCCCCTACCAGGCCTCGGGGCTGTCAAAAGACGCCTCAGGATGACAAACCGGTCCTGGGGAATGGGTCGAGAATTCTGGAGGTCGACGTAATGAAAAAATCATGACGTCGGGGGTCTGGGAACGCGGCCCCCCGAGGCCCCCGTCGCGCGCGTCTCTCCACACATAGCCAGAAAGGGGCCAGGACAGGGATACACCGTTCCAGAGCGCACCAGAACTCTCTCAGAGCGGTGGAGCCATCAGGAGCTCTCCGAGAAGGTCGCGGCGCCCGTCACGTCCTACAGGGCCGACGGATCTCAGGAGATTCCAGATCTATCCCTGTCTCCTATGTGGGTGGGCTACCACCAGGGAGGAGAGGAGAAACCAGGACGCTCCTCCTCGAGCCTTCTCCTCGGCCCTCCCCATCCTCGATCCTCGGCCTCGATCCTTCTCCTCGGCCCTCGGCCCTCATCCTCGATCCTCCTGTGTGCAGATCTATCCCCGACTCAGATCTATCCCCGACTCCGACGCCTCGTCGGGGGCAGCCACTGGCGGGCACTCGTGGGCCTGTGGCGGCTGGCACCTCGTGCCGCACGCCCTCGTCGTCGTCGTCGTGGTCGTCGTCGTGGTCGTCGTCGTCGTCGTCGTCGTCGTCGTCGTCGTCGTGGTCGTCGTCCTCGTCGTCCTCGTCGTCGTCGTCGTCGTCGTGGTCGTCGTCGTCGTCTTTGGCAGCACACCGAGGCGCCGGCACCGGACGCAGGACCCGGCGCTCGTGCCTGCGGGAGGTGGGGCCTGGCCCGCGCGTCGGGCGGGCGGCAGGGGGTGTCAAGCAGTGGCGAAGCGTCCTGGCTCGCCGATAGCCCTACCAAACAATGTTCTAAGAACCTTTTGTGGTTTCCACGAGATGTTCTTAGAACATTTCTGGCGGAGTCTGTCGGTCGGTCCCTGCTCAGGGGCGGCGGGGCACCGCGGCGGTCCGTGGGCAGGGGGGCAGGGAGGCCCCTAGTATGGAGAGGATTTTGCTGGCATTGTTTGAACATCATGTGTTTTGATATTTTGTTTCGATGTTCTGCAAAATCAGCCTGTAGGAGGGGGGGGGGCGCACCGACCCGCAGTGGCCGAACCCTCGGCGATGGGGGCCCGGTAGCCCCACCCCGCCCCTGGGCTGTGAAGATACTCGGGGGCGGTCCGTGGGCAGGGGGGCAGGGAGGCCGCTAAGCTGGAGTCGGGCACGCCCCTCTGCAGGAGGAGAATCCGAAAATAGTTTCAAGAAATCGTATGGGGACGATAATTGTGTGACTATTTTGAGGTATTTTTGGGTACTGTCTGAATATTGCTCTCGTTCAAGATCCGCCTGCAGGGGAACATACCCGACCGAACCCTAAGCTTAGAAAGCCCAGGGTTCGCTAGGGACTGGATTCCCCCCCAAATCGGGGGCGGCCAAGAGGGGGGGTGATGACTGGAGGGGGGTGAAAATCACGGCGGGGCCCATGATATCTCTCCTGGTTTCATGGTGCTTCTTCTTATATCACTACGTTCCTGGCCCTCCCCCGAGGCTACGCACATGCCGCCGGCCATGATTGGCGCCCCCCCTTCGTGGACGCCCCCCTCGTGGCTGCCCCCGACCAAAACGACGACAACCCTTCCAAAACCCTCCCGAAACCCTTTGACAAGCCTGAGGGAACCACTCCCGGAGGGTTGTCGCAGGGCTTCGGGAGGGCAGCGCACCCTGGACTTTCTAACCCTCAGGCTCCAGGGCGAGCAGCGGCACCGGTGCCTTGTCCTCCCCATAGAGCATACCCACCGGTCGTTGAAAGTAGGTATTTTTGGATTTCCAGATTCCAATCTACTTTCAGCGCCTTCCTACTTCAAGAGTCGAGTGGTTTTCCCTCTTCCTTCCTCTTCAGGAGGCGGGCGGATACCCAATCTATTTCCAACGCCTTCCTACTTCATCTTTCTACCTACTTCTTCCGACCGATGGGTGCTTGTTCGGAGGCCCGCGCGGACCTCCGAGACGTCCCGCGTACGCCGATGTCTGCCTTGAGATCGAAGGCGCCGGCCCCTCGAGAACCGCGCGGCAGGCGCCCTGCGGGGCAGCGGGGGGCCTTTCTCGTCGAGTCTGCACGAACGGAATGGGCACGGAAAGAGTGGGTACAATGCCCAACAGCGGATCTGGTTCATTTTGAACAGGACTGGCTGTCCACGCCGCCGCCCGCGTCCTGTGTCCATTCGAGACAGGAGGCCGCCTGCCCAACAGCGGCCGCTGTTGGTTTGGGACAACATTTGTTGTCGCGCATTGTACCCATTCTTTCCGTGCCCTTTTCGGGCGTCCAAATTGAGGACTTAATGACTTCTGCTGTCTCGCGCTGGAACTTCCGCGCTTGCTCGAGATCTTAGCGGGCCTCAGAAGCGGCAGGGCGGTGTTTTCACCGTTGCCGAAAACATGCCTCTGGAACATGGAAGCGGCCAACAAAGAAAACGGCGACCGGAAACGGCAACAAAAACTGCTCCAGGATTGGAGCCGGAGCCGGGACCAGTAAAAAACCGGCGACGGATCCGGTTGAAATATGTATAAAATTGCATTGACGTCGATCTGTTTGGATTCGCCTCGCTTCATCGTCAGGCCTGTCCCCCTACAGGGGGAATATTCAAGAATAGTGAAAAACAGTCTGGGATCTATTTTTTAAGTATTTGGGGGCATGTTTTCAATCTTTTTCGGCTATTTTAAATTTTTCGTCCAAAATCCGCCTGTAGGGGGAACACGCCCGACCCAATTCTGGCCCGATCCCCGCAGGTCGATCTGAGAAGAGCCAGCAGAGGTTCTGGTCAGGACGCGCCCCGGGAGAGTTCCTGGGAGCGGATGGGCTTGTTTTCCACCACCACCACCGTAAGTTGGAGGGGGGAAGGAGATGGAGGACGAGGAGGAGGACGAGGAGGAGGAGGAGGAGGACCCCCTCTCCCTCCAACTTCTGGTGGTGGTGGTGGAAACCAGGCCCATCGGGATAGGCGGTATGGGTAACGCTTTCGCCCCCGATCTTCGACACCCGCCGGTGCCTTCTCAAGAGGCCGCCCCCTCCGCCCTGCTCCCCGTTGTCGCGCTCCCCTGCCCCCTGGCCGCAGCAAGGAAGACGCCGAGACGGGGACCGCCCTTGGAGCAGAGAAGGTGGGAAGAGCGAGGAAGGGTGAGGAGGAGGAGGAGGAGGAGGAGGAGGAGGAGGAGGAGGAGGAGGAGGGGGGGGAAGAGGCTGCGAATTGCGTTTCTGTTTCACCGGCCACCAGGAGCCAGGAGCCAGGAGCCAGGAGCCAGGAGCCAGGAGGAGGAGGAGGAGGAGGAGGAGGAGGAGGAGGAGGAGGAGGAGGGGCATCGAGGGAGGAGTGGCTCTGGGCGCCGCTGGCGCGCCGAGAGGCGCTGCCCCGGGCGGGCGGGGCGGGCCGCGCCTGCACGGTCGCAGGCCGCGGAGGCAAGGGCCACCGTGGGCCCACGAGGGGCTCCGGCCGTCGGGCCGCTCCCGCGGATCGAGGTTTAAGTTTAAGTCGGGCCTGTCCCCTACAGGGGGATTTTCGACGATTTTTTTTATAAAAAAAAGTCCCCAGACTATGTTTGGATCCTCTTTTGTATATTTTTAGGGTACCTTTTATGTTTCGTCGAAGATCCCCCTGCAGGGGGACACGCCCGACTTAAGCTTAAGTAGGGCGTGTCCGTCTGCAGGAGGAATGTTCAAAAATAGTCTGGGGACGATTGTTCGATTATGTTTTGGAATGATTGAACCTTGTTTGACTAACTATTGTTCGAGCTGTCTTACAACATCCGCCTGCAGGAGGACGTGCCCGACCGAAGTCTATTCGTGGCCGAGGCTTGCCGCAGCCAGGAGAGCCCCTTCGATTCGCACGTGGAGTTCGTGGTGGGAAGGGACGCGACGACTGGTACAGGTCCCTCTTTGGGCCTCTTGGGAACTCAGGTCCCCCGTCTGGGCACGCTCTTGGAGCCGTCTTGGGGGGCATCCAAGGCCGTCCTGGAGGCGTTCTGGGTGGTCTCGGGGTCCTCCTCTGGGGCTGTTTGGGGGCCCTCTTCGAGGCCTCTTGGGCCGTCTTGGGGCTCCAGGGAGGCGACGGGTGGCCATGGATGTGCAACGGCTCCTGAGGGGTTACGAAATTTGCTGCATGCAGCTGGTTTCGGCTTCACCGAGGGGCCCATTCCTCGATACATGGCCGCCTCCCGGCGCCGGGAGGCGCCGGGAAAATCAGCTACGTGAGCTGATTCTCAACCCCCCCCTTTGCTATCCCCCCCTTTCGCCCGGCCCGACTGGCACAGGTGGCCATGGATGTGCAACGGCTCCTGAGGTGTGTTGCGCCGTTTTCGCCCTCGCGCCCCCACGGGGCCCCCCCACGGGCCCCGGGGCCGTCCAAGGAACGCCTTGCCCTGATCGGGCTCGTGCTATCGCTTCATTTCAGGAGGTTCCTCCTCCTCCTCCTCCTCCTCCTCCTCCTCCTCCTCCTCCTCCTCCTCCTCCTCCTCCTCCTCCCCCTGGGGTGAAGATCAGGTTCCTAGGACAGCCGCGGGGGCCCAGGACCCGTTTCCCTCAGGGCCTCTTTCTGTTCTGGAGTCTCGGAGGTATCCTCACTGCTGAGCGAGTCCCCAGGAGGTTCAGATTGGGGGGGGGGAGAAGGGAGGAGGGAGCCGGCGGATGTGCCGTGGAGGACGAGGAGGAGGAGGAAAAGCATCGGATCATCAGCATCATTTGCACGGCGATGCAACAGGATCAGAACTCCAATGCAGTCACAACGGGTCGTTTGGTGATGCCTCCTTCCCTGGGGGTATGAGGTTGCCGGACTGCAGTAGAATACACAGATTGATAATTTTCCAATGGTGTCCTTGCGCCATTGCCTCTCGGCAGCCACGGGCCATGGGCTTCGAAATGATGCCTCAAGTTGAGTCCGTAGTGATTTTGGTTCGATGCATATTTGTTGATCAAGCGAACCCCATCCCAGCCAGTTGATGACCATGACCTCGATGCCATGCGGGCGCGCCTGATCCATTTCTGCAAGTCAAAGTAGCCGGATGGCGCGTCGGACGCAAGAGGTGGTGCTGGAGCTGAGTGCGGGCCGGCACGCGTTGACTTCTGCCATCGCCAGAGCTGGTGAAACATGTACTTCTGCCATCGCCAGAGCAGGCGAGACATGTTACGCGGCGTTTGGAGCGTTGGGGTGCTGCTCGCTGGAGTGCAAGTGCGCCTCGGACACTGAGTGCATCACGTGCTGCCAGGGCGTGGAGGCTGTCAATGAGGTGCACGAGCTGCCCGATGTCGCCGTCGGCTGGGCGGTGCCAGGCAGAGCGGGCCGAGATAGACTGCCCTCTGGCAACAGCTCGCAGGGTACCGAGGGCTCGCTGGATGGATCGAGGCCGAGGGCGGCCAGTGATCCTCGAGACAGGACGCAGCGCCAGATGCGGGCGCGCGCCCTTGGGCAAGAGGCCGGCCTCCCAGAAGCGGTGGTTGCTTCCCTTGTCAGGCGCCAGCGGTGATTCCGAGGCGGGGATCTATCCATGCCCACCGCCTTGGGGGGTCGCCCTCCGCGGACGTCGGCGAGCGATGGACATGTATGTCCGTAGCCACTGCCCGCCAGGGCCCCAAGACGTCGGTTCCACAGGCGGTGGATTGCAGTCGAGATTGATCAGTAGGTCGACCCTGCCAACTCAAGGGTGCCCTCGTGTCCTGTGCTTCGCGACCCACGCCTTCTGCATGCCTCTGGCCACCTGGCCGTCGAAACTCGGTAGGGCCCCGTGTCCTCTCGCGTGTCCTCTTCAGTGAACCCCCACTGCATGGACAGACCTCAGGAGGGGAAAAAACACACAGACACAATTAATCGTCGATTCCCCAGAAAATATGGGAAAATATGGGAAGTGGGGGCGAAGACGAAAACCCAGAAAATATAGGAAAATATGGGGGATCGTTTTATTTGTGTGTGTTTATTTGTGTGTCCTGGGGCCCCTTCAAGACCCAAACGGCCAGCCCGCGCCCGGCCAGGGCGTGGACCGCGGCCGAGGGCGTGGAGCCCGTGGCGACGGAACGCCTGGGCGCCGCTCCGCGGGGCAGGGGCCCCGAGCGCGCGGGCTCGCGCGGCCCTCGAACGCCGCCCTGCCTCGCCTCATCCTCCGCCTCCTCATTCGCCTCCCCCTCCTCATTCGCCTCCCCCTCCTCCTCTCCCTCCTCCTCCTCCTCCTCCTCCTCCTCCTCCTCCTCCTCCTCCTCCTCCTCCTCCTCCTCCCCTCCCCTCATTCGCCTCCCCTGTCCTCCTCCTTCCCCTCCTCCAGCTGTTCCGCCTCCTTTCTAATCCTCCTCCGCCTCCTCCTCGTCCTCCTCCTCCTGCGCTTCCGCCTCTCCTCCTCCTCCTCCTCCTCATTCGCCTCCTCCCCCTCCTTATTCGCCTCCCCCTCCTCCACATCCTCCTCCTACTACTACTCCTCCCCACCTCCCTCCTCCTCCTCCTCCTCCTCCTTCCTCCTCCTCCTTCTCTCCTCCTCCTCATCTTCATCCCCTCCTCCTCCTCATCCGCCTCCTCATATTCCACCTCGTTTGCCTCCCTTCTCCTCCTCCCCCCTCCTCCTCCGTTCCTTCCCTTCCTGCTCTTGCCCCTCCTCCTCCGCTCATCCTCCCCTCCTCCTCTTCCTCCTCCGCCTCGTCCTCCTCTTCATCTTCCTCCTCCTCGTCATTCGCCTGCCCATACTCCTCCTCGTCCCACTCCTCATCCTCCTCACACTCCTCCTCCTCCTTCTCCCGCTCATTGCGTCCCCCTCCTTCTCCTCCTCCTCTTCGTCCTCCTCCTCCGCCTCCGCCTCCGCCTCCTCCTCTTCATCCTCCTTATTTTCCTCTTCCTCCGCCTCCTCTCCCTCCTCCGCCTCCTCCTGCTTCTCCTCTCCCTCCTCCTCCGCCTCCTCTCCTCCTCCTCCTCCTCCTCCTCCTCCTCCTCCTCCTCCTGCTCCTCCTCCTCCTCCTCCCTCCTCCATCGTCCATCATCCCTCCTCCCTCCTCGGCCCTTCTCCCTCCCTCCTCCCACCTCCTCCCCTCTTCCTCCCTTCTCCAGCATCCCTCCTCCCTCCTCCTTCGCCTCTTCCTCCTCTTCCTTCTCCTTCTCCTCCTCTTCCTCATACGCTTCCTCATCCTCATTCTCATCCTCATCATGTCCTCCTCCTTCTCCTCCTCATCCTCCTCCGCCTCCTCCTCATGTTCCTTCTCCTCCGTTCTTCTCCTCCTCCTCCTCCTCCATTCCTTTCCTTATAAATGTATGAACCATGTCGCTCCCCGAGGCCAGTTGTTAGCGCGACGCACCTTCGTCTGTAAGACTTTGCACGAGTTTCGCTGGTTGAGGGCGGGCCGTTTTCGAAACGTGGCTCTCGCCTTAGCGCGGTGCACATGCGTTCTCAACACTTGCACGAGCTTCACGGATCGAGGGCGGTTTCTTTTTAGTGTGTGGTTCTCGCCTCAGCGCAGCGCACATTCGTTTACAACAGTGGCAAGAGTTTCACCGATGTACATCATCAACGTACCAGACATGGTGTTTTGAAAGGATTCAGGATTATGCGGGTGCAACAGTTACGTTGATTCGCTGTGTTGAAATCCCAGAAACGGCGTTCTGGAACGATTCAGGATCGTCAAGACGCAGCAGTCAGGTTTCATCCGTGGCTTTTGTATCCAGAGAACAATGTTTTGGCTTGCGTCAGGGTCTTCAAACTCTTGTCTTCGAACGAGGCAGTTCCCCAAATGGATATGAACCGTTGTAGGGGCCTATGAAGCAGGAGCCTGGAGGGAGGGTTTATCCCAACATCGTTGATGATTCTTGCGTGTACACTGGTCCTCTTCCTCCGCTCCTCCTCCTCATTCGCCTCCCTCTCCTCCTCCTCCTCCCCCTCCTTCGCGCCTCATATCCTCCATTCCTTTTCCTCATGCATAATTATCCCCTGCCGCACCCCGAGGCCGGTCTTTAGAGCGGGCCTGGCGTTTCGCTTGAGGCTTCCTCGCCACGTATGGTTCTGAAGCTTAGGAATTGGCAGCGGTTTCACAGATGGAGGGCGGGTGGTTTTCAAAATGTGACTCGCCTTAGCGCAGTGCACATTCTTTCTTTAGAATTTCAAGGTTTTCACGGGTTGAGGGCGGGTGGTTTTCTAGATGTGGTTCTCGCCTCAGCGCGGCGCACATTCGTTTTGAACATTCACAAAATTTTCACAGATTGAAGGCGGTTTTGTTTTCAAAGTTTGACTCTCGCTTTGGCGACGCGCACATTCGTTTTAAAATTTTGCGAACGTTTCACGGATTGAGGGCGGGCCATTTTCAAAATGTGGTTCTCGTTTGAGCGCCGCGCACATTCGTTTACAGAATTTTCAAGAGTTTCACGGATTTTCCATCATATGAACGTACCAGGCATGGTGCTTTGAAAGGATTCAGGATCATGCGGGTGCAACAATTACGTTGGTTCGCTGTGTTGAAGTCCCAGAAATGGCGTCCTGGCACGATTCAGGATCGTCCAGACGCAACAGCCAGGTTGATCCTTGGCGTTCGAGCTCCCGAGAACAATGTTTGAGCATGCTTCAGGGCCTTCAAACGGGTGTCTTCCAACGAGGCATGGACATGAACCCTTGTAGGGGCCTATGAAGTGGGAGTCTGGAGGGAGGGTGTACTCCAACATCGTTGATGACTCTTTGGGTTTGAACTGGTCCTCCTTCTCCTCCCCCTCCTCCCGCTCCTGCTCCTCCTCGCCTGGGCCTCCGCTCCTCCTTTTCCTCCTCCGCTTCCTCCTCATCCTCCTTCTCCGCCTCCTCAGTCGCCTCTCCCTCCTCCTCTCCCTCCTCCTCCTCCTCTTCCTCCTCCTCCGCCTGCGCCTCCGCCTCCTCCTTTCTCCTCCTCCTCCTCCTCCTCCTCCCCTCCTCCTCCACCTCCTCCCCCTCATCCTCCTCCTCCTCCTCCTCCTCCTCCTCCTCTTCATCCTCCTCATCCTTGGATCCTCGTACACATTCGCATTCCCCTCCTCATTCCCCTCCCCCCTCCTCTCCTCATCCTCTGCCTCCGTCTCATCATCATCCTCTTCACCCTCCTCCTCGTTCGCCTTCCCCTCCTCCCCCTCTTCCCCCCTCCTCCTCCCCCTCCTTCTCCTCCTCCCCCTCCTCATTCTTCTCCTGATATCCTCCTTCTCCTCCTCCTCCTTCTCCCTCTCCTGCTTCTGCTCCTCCTCCTCCTCCTCTTGCTCCTCCTCCGCTTCCATCTCCATCTCCTCCTCCTCCTCCTCCTCCTCCTCCTCCTCCTCCTCCTCCTCCCCCTCCCCCTCCCCCTCCCCCTCCTCGTCCTCCTCCTAGCTAGGCTGTGGGTTGCGCACGACCCGCGCTAATTGCGCTACTGGGGTTAGGGGAAGTGGTTCATCTTGGTTTGGGGTAGTTGGGAATGGTTCATATTGGCTCGATGTGTTTGGATATGGTTCATCTCGGCTTGGGGGTGTTGGGAATGGTGCTAATCTCGATTTGGGGGGTTTCTACATGGACAGGCATGCGTGCAACCCTAGATAACCAGCACTGCGTTGCTCCCACGTCGACAATACTAAGTAAAGGTGGGGGAAGGAGGGAAAGCGAGAAGGGAGAGTGAAGGAGGGCGGTGAAAGTGATGGGAGGGTAAGGCGAAAATGGGAAGGAACGAATGGGGAAATGCGAGGGAGAGGTCGGGCAAGTGAGAGGGGGACAGAGGAGGAGGCGCAGGGAAGGGGTTGCAAGAACAGGGAGGGAGGTGCGGTGGGCAGGAGGAGGGCGGCGCGGGAGGGGGGGAAAGCGGAGGGGGGGGGGGTACCGCGGCAGCGGCGTCGGCGGGGCCCGCGCTCGGTGCAGCCTCGAAGTTCGCTCAGGCGAGCCGCGGGCGGGCGGCGGGCGGGGGGGGGCGCGGCTTCCTCCTCCTCCTCCTCCTCCTCCTCCTCCTCCTCCTCCTCCTCCTCCTCCTCCTCCTCATCATCATCATCATCAGCATCATCATCATCATCATCAGCATCATCAGCATCCTCTTCGCCCTCCTCATCTTCCTGGAGGGACTACAGCTCGAGCCTCTTCCCACCTCCCACCTCCTCAACTCCTCCTCCTCCTCCTCCTCCTCCGCCTCCCCCTCCCCCTTCCCCCCTCCTCCGCAGCAGCCTCCCCCTCCCCGTCATCCTCCTCGTCCCGCTCCTCCTCCTCCGCCTCCTCCTCCTCCGTCACCTCGTCATTGTGTTGTGTCACCACGTCTGATATTCTTACGATACGTGAACGCAAACATTGGAATCGCCGTCGTGGACGCACGGGGGGACATGGATGGATGATGACATAGTTTCCTGTCATTCTTTCGCACCCCAATGCGAAGGAAGATCTGCTGCAGCAAAACAGACACCCAGCAAGCTTAATTCAAACACCTTGATTTCAAATCATGAGTCCCTTCCAGGGCTCTACGCTCAATCGATCACGATGATGTGCTTGGCCGCCCTCGACGGCGTCTCAAAGGGGCCACGCGACTGGGCAAGTGGCGGCGGGCTCGGCACAGGCACAGGAAAGCGTTTCATCCGTTTGCTGGGGAGCCAAACAAACGCCGACGGGGTGGATCTTGTATTTCTGTTTCTTGAGTTTGCCCTGTGCCGCGATGATCGCGTCGATGTTACGATCGAGCATGATGTTATAGGCGCAGAAGATGTCATTCGGATCACTCTTGCGCGCCTTGCAGGGCGTGTCCAAGCTCTTCTGCGCCTCGCCAGAGCCGACCTCATGAGCACCCCGATTACGACGCTTTTTCTCCACCAAGTCGTCGCAACACCAATCGGGGAACTTGCCGAAAGAGGTGGCAGGCACATCTGCCCCGCCCGCCATTGCGCGGGAAAGCCACGCCGTGCCACGCACAGTGAGAACGGCATAAAACTTCAACGGCTGCCGTTGGAGGGAGGGGGGAGGGGGTGCGAGCATGAGTCCCACTGCCAGACACTGCCACCACGTGGCACCTCCTCCTCCCTCCTCCCTCCGCTCCTCCCTCCTCCTCCTCCCTCCTCCCTCCTCCCTCCTCCTCCTCCCTCCCTCCTCCTCCTCCTCCTCCTCCTCCTCCTCCTCCTCCTCCTCCTCCTCCTCCTCCTCCTCCTCCTCCTCCTCCTCCTCCTCCTCCTCCTCCTCCTCTCTACTCCTCCTTCCCTCCCCACATCCTCCTCCTCCTCCTCCTCCTCCTCCTCCTCCTCCTCCCTCCTCCCTCCTCCTCCTCCTCCTCCTCCTCCTCCTCCTCCTCCTCTCCCCCCTCATCATCAACGACGTGGCAACGCATGCGATGGCAATGCGACGGCGGCCACGCACCCGTTCTGTGCCACTCAGACGTGTCGCAACCCCGTGAGCAGACACGATCATTTGGCAATCGCTCAACTCGCCAGCTGATAGCACTCTTCAACTGAGTGCCCTGATCAAAACATGTCGAGAGGCCCGACTGCGCCTGCCCTCCAGCAAGCAGAAGCCCCCAACACCCTTGAGACACGAGCTGGGCATCTACATCCGCACGTGAGTTACTCATTACTTCATTCCCCCCGCAACCGCTCCCCTTGAGTTGGCTACTCGCCGAAAAACGGCAGACCTCTGTGAAAGAAGACTCGGCATTCAGCATCGCTTGCGCTCTTGCGCAGTGCTGGGCTGGGAGAAGGAGAGACCGAATGAGGACTGCGATGCAGATCGAACGAGGAGCGGAGAGCAGAGAGGAGCAGGGAGGAGGAGGACAGGGAGGGATGGGGAAGAGGGGGGAGGAGCAAGGGCAGCAGGGACGAGGCGGAGGATGACGAGGGAAGAGGAGGAGCCATGACAACACTGCAAGAGCAGATCTCACAGACCGATATTTGCTGAATCACCCACCTTCAAAGGTGGAGTACACTTCCAGCTCGAGATGACCCCGAGCGGCAAAAGACCTATCGCCAAAATGGCGTTGTCCAGACGGTGTCGTTTCTCAGTCGCTCCTCATCCTTTTCCTCTTCCTCATCCTTACCAGTCAGTAACACCTCGCCCTCCTCCTCCTCCTCGTCCTCCTCCTTGTCCTCCACTCCTCCTCCTCCTCCCCCTCCTCCTCGCTCTGGAGCACCGGAATACCAGGACACCTCGACTCGCCACAGGTGGCGGTTACCCTCCTCCTCCTCCTCCTCCTCCTCCTCCTCCTCCTCCTCCTCCTCTCCCTCGCCCTCCGCCTCTTCTAGTTCACGAAGCTACTTTTCCCAGCCAGCTGGTGGGGTCAAAAAGGTTCCTCATCCTCCTCCTCCCCCCCCCCCTCCTCCTCCTCATCCTCCTCATCCTTGGAAGCCTCGCACAATACGATGACATTATCTGTTGTTTACCACGATCTGGTTCAACGCGAGGCCTGGCAAAATCGCCAAGCACGGCCGCGATTATTTCTGGGACACCTCCTCACAAAATTTTGCAAACGCCTCGCTGCGAAATTGCCACTGTGGGCTCGACGAGGCCGACCTCACCAGCCTGTCGGTGTTGAACTTCTCGATGGCCTTCCAGCAGGGCTCGTCGAGGGCCTTCGCCAACTTCGTGGAGAAGACCGCCATCGCCCAGTAGGACCCCGTGCTCTCAGCCGACGCCTTGAGCTTCTCGGCCTCCACGGCAGGGACACAGACTGGCATTGCAAGCCAACCGTACGGCACGAAAACGACGTCGCCGTTGGGCACGCGGAGGGAGATGCCATTCTCCTCGAAGTCCTTGGCCCCCTGGGGCGTCTCGAAGTACTGCTTCGCGTCCGCAATGGACACGCCGTTCTTGAGGATCACCTCCGCGTTGATGAGCTGCATCAACATGTTATCCGAGGTCGCTTGGATCAACGACCCCACTCCTGGCAAAGGGCACTGGCTCGGACCGAAGCGCCACGCCCAAGGACGAGACACCGAAATCCACGGGACGCCCCCCTTGTCGTTGAGGTGGAGCAGCTCGACATTGAAAAACGTCTTGAACTCATCCGTGCACGCTGGTTCGCGGGAGACCTTGGTCATGCAGCCCATCCAGTTCTGGTGACCTGGCTCCTTCAGCGACTGGACGAGGCTGGTCACCGTCCTAGTCATATCCTCCTTGTCCTGGCTCTTCTGGATCTCCAAGACGAAAGGCTGGTCGCTCATCCACTTGCAGATCGCGCCCCCGACAAACTCCGACGGGTTGACCTTGACGGCGTCCTGAACCCTGGAGTAGATGCCATCCGCGCACGCGTCAGATGTGAGGACTTCCTCGGCCACGGCCGCGATCAGCTGGGCGTGGGCGTTACCGATCTTCCCGCCGACCAAATGCTGAGCGACCTTGGTCCTGGCATATCGGGCCTTCATCTTCTCCTTCCTCGCGGAGTTCGAGTGGTCTCCGAGGGCCATCTTGATGCATGCGCTCTGCTCCGCCACCTCGTTGTTCAACTCCTCGATCTCGCCCATGACTTCCTCGACCTCCTTGCTGAGCTTCTCGGGCTCGGGCCGCCTGCAAGATGGCACGGTGTCGGCAAGTCTATTGACTTTGTGCCTGAGTTCGTCTCCCTTCTTCTTCAATTTCGCCGGATCGGTCTCGAGGCCCTCGAGGTCGGACTGGGAAAGCTTCTGCGTGAGCGTGGACATCACCTGGCACGGAGCCTTGGGCCCGCTCATCTCCGAGAGAGCTCGCTTGACAGAGGTCGCCAGATCCTTGCGTTCCTTCATGAAGCCGATCGGGGCGCCCGTGGCCAGGTCAAAGGTGCTGCGCCCTGAGACCGACGGAGCCCGCCCAGCCTTGACGCCCTTCGGGTTCTGCTGCGTCTGCGGGGGACAGTACATCTAAGGAGCCACGCACTGTCACGGAATCGTGGTGCGGAGGAAACCCAAGCCCCGAAAACACCGAACATGGCCGCCGCCAGGACGTCAGTTGTTGGCAGCCCCCCGCAACACCGAACGCAGACGGGAGGATTGCAGATTTTGGCGCCAGTTGCCCCGCTGGGGCAAGTCACACTACCCCCCCCCCCGCCCAAGAGATATACTGCCCCAGCCCCCACGGTCGCCTTGTCAAGCTTCTCCAAGTTCTCAGCCGTGAACAAGGGACTGCTCTTCGTACGACGGCGCCTCAGCTTCTTCGGCGGCCCCTGGTCGGCGTCGTCACTCTCAGCCAAGCTGTCGGCGTCCAAGACCTCGTCGTGCTCCTCCCTTACCTCGTCGTCGTCGTCGTCGCCGAACGCGGACTGCGGGGGCGATCGGGCAGGGGGGCGCCTGCGCCTGCTCGAAGGGCCCGTGTCCACCTGGTCGCCCGTCTGTTCCTTGCCCTCCCTGGACTGCACCTTCGAGTTGTCGCCAACCTGGATGCAACGGCGGTTCTTCTTACCGTAGATAGTGATGCCTTTCTTCGCTTGCTCTTGCAAGATGCTCTTGAACTCAGCCTCGGCAACGTCCCTGTCCGTGCCCTCCCAGAAGGCGATGTACCGCACGTAGCGCTCCAAGCACAACTCCAACTTCGGCGTGACTCTCTCATTGGTCTTGAACGTCTTGAACGCCGTGATCGCCTTCTCGAGCTTCTTGCGACGCACCGAGTCACGGGCGCGACTCTCGTCCGTGATGCCAGGCGACACGACGGACCTCCAGTGCTCGGTGTCCGTCAGCATCATCTCATCAATCGTTTCAGCACCCCCTCGCCTTGCCGAGCGGCAAGCGCGTTGGCACCTGCTGCGGAACATGAAGCCGAGGCACTTGACGGAGGCGCCTTTCTGCAAGCAGAGGTCGCACTTCACGTCGGACCCAGTGCACTTAGCAGGAGCTGGAACGCCGGGCCCTGAGCGCGCGCTCCGCTTAGAGGAGGGAGCCACGGAAGCCGATCCCGCTGCGTCGGGGTGCCTCTCGCTGCCACTGCTCTCGTCCCCGAGGGCCCCCAGCGCCGAGCGCGCGGCCATCGGAAGCGGGGGTGCGAGAGCAACAGGTTTCGCGATGTGCCCTTGGGCTAGCTGGCCGAAAGCTGCACGCCAAAGTTTTGAGACCAAATGGCAACGGGTCGCACTGCGAGCGAGGCAGTTCTGATCGCCTAGCACCCCCTATTCACACAACGGACGGTTCAAGTTATACAGTCACCTTCTCGCCCGAGATGTAAATGAGGTGCTGGCGAGTGCGAACGGCATGTAACATTCACTGAACCCCAACACACCTTATCATTGAGGGCGGGGTTCGCCCTGGTGGTTCACCATGGTTTAAAATGGTTCATCATGGTTTGGGGGTGCTGGGGGGCATGGTTCATCATGGTTTGTGATGGTTCATCATGGTTTGGGGGTAGTCGTGTGTATGGTTCATCATGGTTCATCATGGTTCAGCATGGTTCATCGTGGTTCACCATGGTTCATCATGGTTTCGGATGGTTCATCGCTTCTGGGGTTGGTTTCATCATGACTTCTTGTACAGATGTTGGTAAGACTGCGATGTACATACTATGCGTGTACTGCAACACGCCTTACGCCTCAAGCTAGAGACCACACACGGCCCCACCTAGGGCCTAAGACCACATTCTCCCTCCTCCTCCTGCTCCTCCTCCTCCGACTCCTCCTCCTCCTCCTCTTCCTCGGCATCATCCCCCTCCTCCTCCCCATCCTCCTCGTACTCCTCGTCATCGTCCACCCGTCCTTGTCCCTATCTCTCCCCCTGCCCCAAGACTCCCCTCCCTTGCTTGCGCTGCAATGTGCCCAGGGCCGCTATCTCCGCAGCGGTCGCATCAGCGGTTATCGAGATACGCTTGTTGGTCGGCCACAGAGGGCCTAAAAGCTTTGTGCTCTGCCACAGGCTTGTGGCTCTGCAGCAACCACGCGCCCAGAAAAGCCCCTGGGGCTCTGGGCCCAAACCGCTCGCGGCCAATCTCGAGGCTCCTCGACTTGGCGCACTTGAACGCAGCGCGCGTCGGATTGTTGCAGCACGCTTGGAGCCGCTCCCAGTGAACGTAGTCGCCCACGACCTTCCTGGGGATTCACTTCACTGGTTGGCCCAACATGCATTCCACGACCCCAGGGGCGGGAGCTACTGCAGCCACTACTTTGGGCGGGGCCGCAGGCCCGCCAGGGGGGGCGGGCAGCGGTGGATGATCCTCCGCGTCCGTACCCACGGCGATGCCATGATCATCGTCGCCGCCGTGACCGTGGCCCCCTCCTGCACCGCCATCCACGATCGGCGCGATTGGCGCTGGCGGACCCCCTGCATCAGACCCGTCCCCAGCAATGTCGAATGGAGGTCCTGGAGGCGGCGCGGCATGGTCGGGGTCGGCGAAGGGCACAATGGCTTGACCCTGGGGGGCATCGCCCAACAATTCCAAATAATGCTTGGCGCCTTTGTCTATTGGGTGATGACTCCTTGTCTTCAGCAGGAGCCTGTAGTATGCCTGCGGCTGACCGCTAGGGAAAAACCTATCACCAGATGCACATAAGCATCCCAAGAAGATAATGGACTGCAAGTAAAACGAAGAGCCCAGAGGCTTGCGATTATCGTGAACTTTCTGCAAAAAAACGTCGCGGTGGGTCTTGCGGGGGACACCCTCAAACCCTTTGGATGCCACGTAGTCTGTTAAAGAAAGGACAGGGCAGCTAGGATGAGACAGCGGAACGAGAGGCTGCAAGAGTGCTGGACATGCGAGACGTACACAACCGTCAACAGTATTGGGGCGAACCTCCCACTTTTTGATCTGGTCACGCGCTAACTCCATCGGCCCACCACAAAGCGTGGCAAGGCCAAGTAAGCCAGAGCCCGCCACGGCGAAACACTCGAACTCGTCTCCAAGAGCCCTCTCGTCCTCCATGGGGCCCCACCGCTCGAAGGTTTGCACAAATATCTCGGACACGCCTTCATGGTGAACCTGGGGGGGGGGGGGTGGGGGGGGGGGGGGGGGGGGGGGGGTGGGGGGGGCAAAAACGCCCTGCTCTCTTCCCAGAGCATACCCCTCCACTCAAACACCCCAGCGACTTCAAACATAAAACCTGTTTAGAAAGCTTGAACGACATCGCAAGGGTATCGTGAAAAATGCTTCCGAGGATTTGAATTCAACAAGGCGGTCCCATACGTAAACCTCATAGCAGAGAGCTAGAAGCCACGCCAAGGGACCTGGAGGCCCCCCTGGGAAACCAAGCTTGCTGGGTGGTTCTGGGGCACCAGAATGGCACGTGCCCTAGCCCGCTCTCTCTCGAGTAAACCGAAGGAGACCCACAGGGGAGACCAGAAGTACTGCGCGCTGTTGCTTCCTACCTGTATTGGGGCGACGTTGTGCATATTAAACTGTTCAGAGAAAATCAACTACCCACTGATTGCTAGAACTGCCTGCACCCACCATCCCCCCCCCCTGGGCTCCATCAAGAACGACGCGACTGGGAGGGGGGAGAGGGCCCCGCCCTCGGCGGCGAGAGGGGGGCGGGGAATGATTCACGACATGTCGGCAGTGGGGGCTGGTGCGATTAGCTTCAACACTGTTGGCACGTCTTCCCCCCTATCGCCTCATCTTCGTACGTCTTAACGAAGGTGTCCTTGCTTTCGGGGGCCAAGCTTTGCAACGCAATAGGTTATGCAACCCCGTCTTCGCCGCGAGCTGGCAGTGGAATGTAACTAAACAGTTGCAACGACGGCGCCAGCCACTGGCGAATCAGCTTCGCCTGAACCTCAACGTGGCCAGATCAGCCTCCGAGCCCAGCCCCGCCTCCACCACCGCCCCCGCCTCCTCCACCACCTGCCCTTCCATAGGGCCCGCCAGGAGGCCGCAGGGCACGCAGCGCGATCGGCCCGAAGCGCGGCGGCGGCGGGCCGCCACCATCCCCATCGACAGGGTCGTCGCCGTCGCCAGGATCATCAGCGGCTGCGCCGACACCCTCGGACAGGAGGTGGGCCATCGAATACACGTTGGCGCACAGCTTATCGGGGCGAATGCGGACGGGCTTACTCAGCCGACAAGACTGCGAAGAGATTGTTGTTCGGATGATCGGCGAATAAGACTGCCACGCTTGACGGACATCGATGCCGAGTGCACTGGACAAGTCATCAACATCTTCGAGGTTTTGGTCAACCCGCATTGTACTGGCGATCCAGGGCCACTCGGCCCCTTTGGCATGTTTGGCTACTTGCGAGCCCACGGCGCGGGGCCTTTCGCACGCGCTGTCTTCAATGGGCACCTGGCGCAAGCTGAACACTTCGGCAGCTAACTCGGGAAGCATCCCGCTGCCGTCATCGCCTAGAGCATCAACTTGGCCCCGCAGCAAACTGCCAGGCATCAGGAACCCTCTAGACACACGATGGTGCTGATGCGCAGGTGCCTGCCCCCACTGCTCTACGCATCTATATCGAATTCCTGGCTCGTGCAGCCGAGAGAGCAAATGCGGAATTCTGTCCATGTACTTCAGCTTTCGCTTGGCCAATGCCGCGATCATCCGAACGCAGCCTTGGATGTCACTCACAACTCGTTCAGGGAGGCCCATCGCAGGCCCGCTCCACCCGCTGACCTCAACAACTCCAGCTCGAAGGTTGTCCACCGCGCACTGGTAAGCCTCTGGCAGCCATCGCGCCTTGAATGAACAACGCGAAGCCTCACCGCCACCTGGCTCATGGCACGAGCACCCTTAGCCCCAGGAGAGTAAGTGATACAGCCAATCGCAAAACCACTTGACGAATCCAAACAACTTACTCCACTTGTCGGATCCCAACGCCTCCGTCGCATCTTTTACAAACTCCCTGTCCGCGCTATTGTTCAGTAACTGTGGGTCCCACGATGCAATCAAAGTGTCGACGCCAGTGCCCAGCTCCTCGCAGCATAAATGCAACGTCTGCCATCTCCAGCGCGCACAGGATGGATGCCTCATTGACTTAATGACAGAAGCTGCCCCCGCCTTTCTGGCTGAGTTCAGCTTTCGGACGAGAAGCTCTCTAACGGGCTGTTGCCGCAACCAGTGAACAACTGCTTTGGTGCCTTTGACCCAAGCGGGAAACCAACCGAATGACGAAAGACCTTTGCGCAGCAACAAAGCCCACAAGTGGCACCATCCAGGCGTCTCAAGGCACCTCGGAAATAAGAATTCATGTTCGTCCCAATTTTGCCGATTGAATTTTCTGTCGAGCCGCTCGTAGAAATCACCGATCATCCCAACCATATTTGGAATCAGCCTCTCCGCCCCTTGGTCTGTTGTGATGGATCTGACACGCATGCATGCAAGTTGCAGGGGCTCGATCGAAGGGCCGAATGCCAAGAACATCTGCCAAAGTGTTGCTATCGTTTTCCCCGCCCTGTCGATGAACGCTTTTCCTAACGACGCACATGGCATAACCTTGCGAATGAATCTGTCTCCAGCCCAGATATCTACCGACGACGCGTGCAGCTCCAAACCCCTTCTCTGAGGACTCGCATCTATGAGCAGATTCCTGCTGATCCTGTTGATGGGGACCGTCTCCAACATCTCCTTGAACAGTCTACGAGTCATCAGCATGGCCACTATGTCAAGTCGGATGCGGGCCCTTCTCAAAGTGTCATACCACGGCGCCTGCACATGATCGAGGACCTCGCCCAATGGAATGTCGGTATATTTGGAAAAGAGACGCTTGAACACACATGCTGCTTCATGAATGTTTCGAGTCCTCTTGACATGTTTTGATGCCCTCACCCACTCGATGATAAAAGTTGGGTCCGTCGCCACGTCCTGCGCGCCGTCGTCTGCCTGCGCCCGCGCGCGACCACCTGGCGCGCGAAGCACCATGGGGGCAGCAGTGCGAAACTGCGCATACAATCTTGTGACATCTGCTCGCGAAGGCTCCCGCAACATGTTACTTAGTTTGGTCCATGCTGTGAGCGGGACGCAATGGAACACTGCTTCAGCACCGTCCACCGCTCGAGATGCCAACGCAGGCGCAAGTTTGCACACGCTGAATAATGCACATCCTGGCGCCCATG